ATATGAGAATAATACGTAATACGAATTCCATGTATTTAGTTCGGTGAAAATCATAAATATTTTAATGTCATGAACATTTGGGGAAGTAAATGAGCATTATAGTGTGTGTTTCCGAGAATCGCTGTAATGTAACGTCGGGCAACCGCCGCCGGATGCAACTCTCGCACCCGCACAAACATGTGAATACTTCTCGAAAAATGAAGTTTACTCTTGTTTGCATAACTATAAAAGCTACTAAAAGCGGTAAAAAATTAAACATACTTCCTAAAGTTCGATTGTAATTTCGAAAAATTGGTTGAATTTATTAGACGATGCTCTTTAGGAACCACTTTTTTTTTTAAATTTAAAATCAGATGTATTATCCAAAATAAATGCAAATGTAATACCGATTATTTCATGGGATTTTTGAAAATCGACTTCCCAAAAAGCCTAGATATTTTGTCAAAGAGTTCGTAAATGTATAAAAAATTAAAATCGGATAATTGAAAGTATGTGAAATTTACCACAACTAAATTTGGTCTAAAACGTATGAAAAATACGTGTGATGCGATCCCCTTAAACGTTATGCGTTTTTGATAATACATTGAGATTTTATAGTTCGATTTCTATCGGTCGGTATAATAGTATAACAATGATATTAATACGATAAACCGTTTTACCGAAGTAAGTCGTCCCGCGATATAAAATATAATATCCAATTTAAGAATATCACAATACTAACTGCTATAAAAGAATTAATAAACCTCCTCAGTAAGATTGTCTCAAGAAATTATCATCACCGTCCAACGGCGATGATATAATATATCAGGGGTGGCCAAACCGCTGCTCAAGTCATAGACTTTTGCGACTCGCATCTTATCGTAACATTAAAAAAAAAAATTTTTAATATGAATTTATGTATTTGAAAAATTATAATATTTTATTAAATTAAATTATAAATTACAATTAAATTTTTCTTAATTGACTATTTTCTTATTTATTTTGTTGCGTGATTATTTTGCTTGTAAGCTTTTTAAAATCAGGACTATATGTTGTTAATGCAGTCATTATCCATGTGTGTCTGTATGATATTTTGATATTTATGGTATTTATGAAGATAAAATTTAATTTGAGATTATTGTACAATTATTGTTATCTTATTCTTCACATTTTATTAAATACCATACCTTAACTTATCTTATTTACAATTATAATAATACAATATCTGATATATAAATATATATTATATATATAAAAATTATATAATAATATGACCTTTTTTTTTTTACATTTTGGCTCTTCCATATTTACTAATATATTTGGTGGCTCGCAAGTCATTTCTCGCTGGCCACCCCTGTAATATATTATAAGCTAAGTGTGTCCGTAGATAAAAGGACGATAGGTAGCTATTATAGTATTATAGTCAATCAAATTGCTATTTATTTTTCAAGGTATATTCTATAGGTATTTATAATTATCACAACACGTCACATAGTGGTACCATTACCAGGGACTGGAACCTTTTGAATTTATTGGAAGCTTATAGTTTATACGCAAACGGTAATAACATTAAATTATGATAAATACAATTATTTTATTTTTGAACCTATAAGAACCTATTTAATTTAAATATTCCGATTAGGCCCAGGTATAACCTTGGAACTAAGTCCTACCAACAAATTCTGATTGCACCATTGTAATTAACTCGTTGAAATATAGATACCTATTACCTATAGGTTTTGAAAAAAAAAAACATATATTTGTGCAATATTCAATTTGCAAATAGTGATTAGTGTTGCAATATTATCTTATAATTACAGCTACCATAAGGGGTTTAGGTTTTTATTTGTTGTTTCTATAAAATATACTATATTAGTACTATTAAATAATAAGTACATAGATATGGTTCTCCAGTTAAATACAAAAAGTCATGGGGGGGGAGGAGGATAGGACAGCCAAATCTCCCCCTCCTCGTAATTACGACGCTGCTCGATTAGACTATATTGTATACGATTGAATATCACAATATCATTTACTACCCAGTTAATGTTATGCGGGACTTAAGATTCACCGGTCACAACAATTATTGGCACCGAAGCGCTCGTTGAGTTCGTTTTCCGGAAAACAGTGTGGTTGATTGTACATAAGTATTATTTACTACCCTGGAATCGTTTGAAAAATTGCACGGTCACTCCCGCGCAGTGTTAATGTCTTTCGCAGATACTTGTAAAAAAATACAAGTCCGTTTATCGCTTTTATATCTACACTCAAGATCGACGGTAAACGGTATCGACCTTATATTTTATGCATCTTACCCGTGTTGGGTACTATATATCGTTAAGTACGCACTACCTACATCAAAAACTCTAGTCGACTCGTAAATTAATTTTGTTAAGTACCCTACGTCACCTACAAAATATACCAATGCTCCAATAGTGATCTGTATTTATTTACTTATGATTTATTACCCTCGAGTATTTAAGTATTGTTTTGTCTAAATAATATTATAGGTACAATAGACATTATCATACGGTGATATTATCGACTATTATATTTGTAAGTTTTAATATTTCACAAGTGCTTGCGTTAGTACCTACCAATCGAAAGGATATAATTAGTATTATGACTTTATAATTATATTTTATTTACTGTTCCTGCAAACTTTAGAAACGTACTGAGTGATTTCAAAACAAACATTAAATATATTTAAATCAAAGACAATCCAAATAATCGATATTTATGTTAAATTTACTTATAAGTGGTAGATAGCATATTTAAACATATTGAACGATGTGTAGCATACTTAGCGAGTAAGTACCCATCAGTATTATTTAAGCTTTTCGAAACAAAAAAGTATACTATCGTATGAAAAAGCTATGTAATAATAAAAATCCTCTGATGAAATAAATAATGAAATAAAAATTGAAAAATATTTTATGTTAATAAAACTGAATTTACAAAGAACGGATTTGAACAGGGTCTGAAGCCATTATGGCAGTATATTATTGTTGAGACTCGTATTTCGTTAATATCACACGAGAAATAAAAAATAACCGTAAATTAATATTACAAATCAACCATTATACGAGCTTGGGGCTGTCGATGACTCGAAATCAATATCACTGAGTTGATATAACGATTACTTACAAATAAAAATTAAACAAAGACACGAACGACGAGACAATATTATACGTCTCACAGAACAATGATAGTCATTGTCCAATCACCGGCCTTGCGCACCGGGCTAAACGAGATGAGATAACTATTCGACATCGTCTTCTATTTATTTTTATACTTTAGTTGGACATTAACTGGATTGAACAGTCACATAGGAGGAATGCGGATGTAAACCGTTTAGGGAATCGACCTAAAATGTGGTCTGTTCGAGTGAATAGTATACTATACCTAATACTTTAAGCATTAAGATCATGAGTGTTTATTCCACCAAAAAATACCATTTGGACGAATACCTAAGTATGAATAATGAACATAAGTTTATATTTTTTTCTTCTACTTCTTCCGGCCTTCATAACTCTCCGAGAGTTTTCATCGCCATCACCAAATTACTCCAATTGTCTCGATCCTGTACTATCTCCCTCCAATTCTAAGCTCAAAGGTCTTCCAAATCTTTTTTTACGACACATATCCATCTCTTTTGAGGACCATCCTGTTTCGTTATTCCTTCCGGTTTCCCATTTAGCACTATCTTTTTTACTGGATCTGTATTACACCTCATTACATGTCCTAGCCACTGTATCCTTTGAATCTTTATCAGCACATTAATTGTTACCACTTTTAATTCTTCCTTTTATTCTTGGTTGAACTTCCCAAGCCATTGACCATTCCTCGTATCACTGTCCGGACTACATATCCTTCTCCAGATTTCGTTAACATAGGTAATTATATTTGTATTAAAGTATTCTAATATACTATATTATAGTAGATAGTAATGTATGATACTGTAGTTGAACATTTATTATTAATGTAAAATCTGCACTTGCGTATCTCAAAGCCCATATATATCTCACACAGGTAAAAATTATTTCACTCGTCCATTTTTCTTCATAAATTGTTTGGTCAAAATTATCACACTCGCCTAAAACAATCTTCGCCCACGCTCTCGTGGCCCATAAATAGTACTATAATACTAATATAACTACAGCAAAAAAAAAAACAAAAAAAAAACATTTCGTCAAATGTATTATTTATTTATTTAATTAATATTATACCTATATATTTAATTATAATAAAAACCAAACTGTTCGTCTAAATTCTAAGTGTGTAATAAATTGTTCTCACAATTGTCTCCTAAGACGCTTGGCCCACGAACTGTCATTTTCACTTATTGATAAAGTGTAATACGCTCAAGTCTCCAACGGTACTTACCGTGTTCAATATATATATATATATGTCGCATCCACTTAATGTAATCGTATTTTTCATGAAATGGATATCCATTTCATGAACAACGATCATATCGTGTAAGTCAAATTTTAGTTCATGAAATGGACATATATTTTATCCATTTCATGAAATGGAAACTCTTATTTTACACTTTGTGTAATATTTTTAATTAATTACATCAATAGGTAACTTTTTGTGAAATCGAAATAATAACATTGATACGAGTACATTTTATTACATTTATTCATGATTATTATAATTATGTAATATTGTATTATAATTATATTTTATATAATAATAATAAATTATATAAATATAAATAGTTATATAATCATTATCATTGTGAAATCGAAATAATAATATTGATACGAGTACACGAATCTAGCATCTTTAAATTGTAAGCATTAAGATACTAAATAGGTATTGTAGAACTTACTGTACTATACTAATAAGTAATATGTTATCGACACCTGTTATCGATAAATAATCGCATCAATTGTATGAGTGTAATAGCACTCTGGAAAGTTTTTATTTTTATTTTTATATGATGCCAGTACGTTCTCTGACTTGATGCGAGCCGTATATTAACGTTCATTACAAGGAATACAATTTATAAAATGGAATTTGATTCATTTGCTGAATATTATGAAAAATTAAATGCCTACTATGTAGGCAAACCCGGGAAAAAACCACCCACCAAAAATGAGGTTCAATTAATAATTGAAGAAATATTAGCGGCCAAAATAAAAATGTAAGTAATTGTTAAAATATACAAAATATTTAAACTTCAAATAAAATTATAACAATCAGCCATCAGGGCTTGTATTTCAAAAAACTATTTTGTTTTATGTTATTTGGAATTAAGAGGTCTCTGTCTTACTAACGTACATTATAACAAATTTTCATTCAGTAGAATACATTTTGTGATGTTAGCTTTAATATTAGAGTAAATTTACCTATGATCAAATTTAAAGGTAAGAATATTATCTAGATAATGACATATGCTTTTAATGATATTATTATTTTAAAGTGAGTTATGAACATTTTAAAGTTGTAATATTTCACATAGCTGTAACTCACTTTAAAATAATAATATCATTAAAAGCATATGTCATTGTCTAGATATTATTCTTACCTTATGCTTTGAACGACAAAATTCAGCGCAAATCATAAGCTTCTATATCTATAGCCGCTGCGCTGTCGTGATGTTATTATTACGCGTATATTAATATTATTAAGCCTACAATTTATACGGGAAACCGGTATTTTTATGAGCGATTCACAATGTCACACAAGCTACGGCGTTGCAAAGGCGTATAAGCTATCCATATACCCGTTATAATAACGTCGCGAGTTCGTAACGATATATTATAATAAACTATAAAAATAATTTTAATAATAATTAAAAATATATTTTATTGTTAATTGTATATTATATAAAAATAATTAATAACAGCATCTGTTTTATAAAGTTGTGTGTTTAACCATAAATATTTAAACAATATTTCTTTATAATTTGGAATTTACATTATTTTATAGTGGTAAAAAAGAGAGGCGAGATTATTATCTTATCAAAACATATGATGTCCTGTGCGTTACAGATCAAAAGTTTTTGATTTATAAAAAAACTGATGAAGATGAAGACATAAGGTAATTTTTGATTTGTTTTTTATAATTTGTATTCTGTATTGTTAATTTAATTATTTTAACAGGTACGTTGTACCATACGAAGAGTTGTACGATCGTATTAAGGATTTTCACATTAAAACGGGACATGGTGGAATTGTTAAATTACGTATGTCAATGGGTCATAAATACAAAATTCCGAGACCAGCAATAGAAAAGTTTTTGTCTGTATGTGCAATATGTAATTCCAAGCAAGGAGCAAATCGGAAACTAGTTATCAAACCAATTGTAACTAAAGATTTCAATGAAAGAGGCCAAGTTGATTTAGTCGATTTCCAGTCAACACCTGATGGTAAATATAAATGGATCATGAATTATCAGGACCACAATACAAAATTTTTATTATTGCATCCTCTTGAAAGCAAACGAGCTATAGAAGTGGCAAACAAATTACTCACTATTTTTCTTACATTTGGAGCCCCTAAAATACTTCAGAGTGATAATGGACGAGAATTTGTTAACTCCATTATTAAGGAATTAAAGGATCTGTGGCCACAATGTACGATAGTCCACGGCCGACCACGCCATCCCCAAAGTCAGGGAAGTGTTGAAAGAAGTAATCAAGACATTGAGAATATGATTCGTGCTTGGATGAAGGATAACCAATCTAAAAAATGGTCGGTTGGATTACAATTTGTACAGTTTCAAAAAAATTCGTCTTTCCATCGAATAATAGGACGATCGCCGTATAAAGCATTATTTGGATGTGACCCGAAAATTGGATTGTCATCATCAAATCTTCCATCAGAAATAATAAAAAAACTAACCACTGAAGAACATCTTGAAGAAATTTTAAATAATATTCAACCTGAACATGAAAAAGAACAGATTACATCATATTGTAGTATTTGCAATACAGAAATGTTAACTGAGGTCGAATTTGCCGAAACTATTATTTGTGATTTATGTAAAACTAGTGAAAAAATAAACAAACAACGTCAACTTGGATATCAAGGACAAGAAAAAGCAGCTGAAATCATGTTAAAGGTATCTTTTTAAATCATTGTTCCTATTTAATCTATTTTTTATTTAAAATCATTGTAATATCATTGTCTTTAGGTCAGCCAAACAAGGGTTCCTGATTTACAAATTGGTGATTGCGTCTTAATAACAGTACCTAAAGTAGATCGAGGACCGTCAGATCCTGCCAATGTAATTGCAGTTATTGTCAATCAGAACGAACATAAACTGCACCAACTCGGAACTCAGTATGGCTTAGTAAAAGGGTGGTACAATTCAGCAAGTTTAAAACCCGCGACATCTAGTTTTTTAAAAATTACCGAAGTTAATAATGATAAAGAACTTACATTACGTGAAACCGTTTCTCATATTTCTGGGGGACAAGGTTTTTTAAGTTGCATTTGTAAACGCCAATGTGAATCAAAACGTTGTGCTTGTTTTAAAGCTTCGGTAAAATGCAACAGTCGTTGCCATAGCTCTAGTATTTGTAAAAATAAGTAATAATTTATTATTTATATAAATAATAAATTATTAATAAAAATAAAAATTATAATATAATAAATAAAAATGATAATAAAATTATCAATATTATTATTTTGATTTCACAATGATAATGATTATATAACTATTTATATTTATATAATTTATTATTATTATATAAAATATAATTATAATACAATATTACATAATTATAATAATCATGAATAAATGTAATAAAATGTACTCGTATCAATGTTATTATTTCGATTTCATAAAAAGTTACCTATTGATGTAATTAATTAAAAATATTACACAAAGTGTAAAATAAGAGTTTCCATTTCATGAAATGGATAAAATATATGTCCATTTCATGAACTAAAATTTGACTTACACGATATGATCGTTGTTCATGAAATGGATATCCATTTCATGAAAAATACGATTACATTAAGTAGATGCGACATATATATAGGTACAATAATTTGTATACATAATTATTATGTTACACACACACAAGCACAATCGACTAGAAACGTGCCTGCGACTCGGTTGTACTATAATGTAATATTACAAAGTCCTCTCCTACGGGATGTAGGTACAAAGCGTGTTATACGGTCGCACCGATCTCGATACACTGTAAAAACGTCGAACCAGCACGACGCCTCCATCGGTAATTGCAATTTCACACAAAAGGTTCGGTGTCGTCAGACCTCTAACCCGACGCTAATCTCTCGACCACCTCCACCCTTCGCCACCCACATTGCCACCCACGCGGTCACCGCATCGCCACCGCATCTGCCGGGTCTGATTGTTCTCGGCGGTTCTCGGGGGTTTTAATAACACTTAGCCGGGCACACGAGAGCAGCCGTTAATTAAATTATTTAGACTCTCTGTACCTACGTATAAAACCGACCGTGACGGCGTTAAAAATCGGACGATTTTTAGGGCGGTTGCCTCGCAGTAAACGCATTAAACCCGTTCCACGTACATACATGTTATCCATGTACACGGTTAGGGTATACACATATACCCCGTGGTATACGGTGTTGTAGGTATACTGTATGTGTATATTTTATATACATGTGCGGGTATATACCGAGTGTGTGGTATATGCCTAACCTATACCGCGATTATACTTACGCGATAATAACGATTGACCGCACTAGCGGGTAATGGTAGACGGATCGCGTCCACGTGTACAATAATAATATAATACTAGCAAGTCCGTCGTAATTTCCTAATGCAGTCGCCTCTGCGCTCTCGTTAATTGTGCTTCCGAGTCGCATTCCGGCTTTGTCTCTCCTTTTCGGTGAAACTCTCACTCTACCTCTCCCCATCTCTCCTATCCTTCTCTGTCTCTTTATTTCTTTCTCTCTCCGTCCCTCCGTCCCTTAGTCTCGTGCAGTCACCAACAGTGTCTCTGCGCAGAGATACCGTTTTAGTGCACAATATAATACGTCTGCGAAAACGACCGCGTCGTACACGGCGAGCGCATGGTTTCCGGATTACGTGTGCGTGCGTGTTTATTTACTGCGAGACTGCACGGGTCTGAACTAACTGTTCGGATCGTAACCACTACTGCGGTAAACGGTAATCCGTATGCCGGTGGCGCGACGGTCTACGAAGGTTCGAACCGAACGAAATGAATAAATAAAACGTCTGTCGCGACTCACGACCGCTGCACGAGTGTCTATACCTATATTATAATTGTGAGCACTACTGTGAATATTATAATGATTTATGCCTAAGCTCTTACATCCACAGAAACAATAAGTTTTATCGACGTCGGTATAGTTTGAACGTATTCAGCTAAGAGCATATTTTTCATATTTCAATAGTGTTTATGCCATAAATATTTACAAATGGCGATCAACAAACTAACCTTGTATCGCCCCCGCTAAAACCATTAATTTCATAATTATATACTACTATTATATACCACAAAATCAATGATAAAATGTAGTTTAAAATTTCATTGCTCAAATATATCACAGTATGGTCTATTTTTACTAAAAAATTCCATTTCAACGCAATACTGTCTTTAAAGTTTAAAAATTGACAACATTTTTTTTTTGCCGAATATTTTATGCTTTAAAGTTTATAGGTATTTGTGCTTAACACATTTAACATTTTTTACTTAAATATTTAATTAACTAAATACAATTACAAAAATGTTTCTCAATCGTAGTTAGATGTCTTGAAAAATTACAATGTTTTGTCAGAATGCAAATCGAGGTGGGTCATCGTTGCAACGTTGGTACCTATATTGTTGGAAAATTGGAGTTGTCTGTTCGAGTGAAAAATGAACGTATATTTTAGATTTTGTTATTATAATATATTTCTAAGTATTGTTTTTCTATATTTTGTCAGAAATTAATCACTTTACTTCGTAGTTCTTTTCAAACAGATTCAACATTTAATGAAAAGCGATATTATGGTTGTTAAAATCATATGAAAATAATTTATGAGTGTTGAAGTTCATTGTCTGAAAGTTAATTTATAAAAAATAAATCCATACTCATATTGGGTAGGTACCTATACATATTTAAAAATTAAATATTATGTAATTTTATATTTGCATATTATTTTCCTCTTATTTAATTATAAACGCTTCTAAACGAATAAAATAAATTTCCATCGAACAATGAATTGAGCCATTTGAATCATTGTACAATGTACATAAACATAATATATAGTATTTTATTTATTATTAGATGTGAATTTCAAATATAATGGAGTGGTTTGTAAATTGTTGGACTTTTTATACAGTGAACGACTGAACGAACTGTGGGGGTGTAAGTAGTTTATTGTATTTACCTACCTTTAAAGCATTATGTTAACAGTAGACGGACTATGGTTAGAGGTATATTGGTTACATGTTATTATTATTTATATATATATATTTATAAATAAAAAAAAAAAAAATACTTTGTCGGTCTAGAAAAATGTACTATATTTTTTTCACAACAAAAACTAAATATTTAAAATATTGTCTCGTTTATTTATTGAAATTTGAATATGGTGCTTACTGCATAAGATAAAGGTAGGTACTTACAACTATAAAGCAATAAATAACATCATTATTATACTTGTTTCTAATGTTTTAAATATAATAATATAGACTAGTTTAAACCATATTAAAATATGCGTGTCACGAGGGCACAAAAGACTAGGTCTGTATAGTTCCGTTGTATGGCAAATAGTTGCAATAGTAATATTAAAAATGCAAATGCAACTGCAAGTGCAACAAACGGGGACTATGCATTTTGCATTTATTCATTTATCTACGGCATGCACTCAACTGTATCGAAATTCTAAGTAATGCGGTTCTATTACCCTGCAAACGTCGTCTAGTTCATAAAAATATTTAAAAAACAATAATAACTATATTGTTATATCAAACTATTTACAGTTTATCGATTGTATGAGTGTTCAAAAAGGATGGAAACGGACATTAGACTAATCATTAGATGATAATATGTTATAATATTAATGAGGTCATATTAATTATTTTATCTGACAAATGTACAGCCGCCGTCCTGCCATAACACATCCGTTATTGCTCTGTATAATTATCTACCTAGGTATAAAAATATGCAAACAGTAATTATAAAGAGTTTCCAAATTGTTTGTGCCTATATTTTGATCTGTGATATTTATCTGATTTGAAGGAGAGGGAGGATCTTCTCATAAAGTCTGGTAATCAAAAAATGCAATTATTATCATTAGTGTAGAATGTGAGTAAGCGTCGTAGGGAAAAATTTGTATACTTTTACGAGAGCTCTTGCGATATTCGTTTACACCCCGGCTCCATTATTATTACAATTTATGGCGTGTGTCGCGAAGAAAAATTGATATTTTCATGGCAATTTCGGTATTATTTTTTATAAGATGGCTAAATTTACCGTTCAATCTTGAACGGCGACAGTGTATATTATTTTATACAACGTCATAGCAGCATGATATTATATTGGTGTCATAATATTATACGTGTAACGTGTCCATTTATCACAAATAATTTTTTCTTAATTTTATATTTATACTAGCTGATCCCGTGCACTTCGTTGCTTGTTAATACCAACTCTATATGACTCAAACTTTGTTCAATTCGTTATTTAATATTCGGTGTATGATGTTCAAAATGTATCTTAACTTTTCCTTTGCCCCGCGGGATAAAAATTCTGATTTTCAGCAGTATATTATCAGGTAGGCAATCTACCTGCGGTAGATCGCGGACCCCGTGCTGTTTGTACTTAAGTATATGATTTAGCTATAAAGTATCAAAGTTATACCAAGTTTGTCGTATTCCACCTAATGTGGATTAATCTCGGGATTAATATAATCAATTAATACAAAATCCTAACCTAACCTAACCGTACTAATATCAGATCGTAGAAGGGTGAAAATTGAGGATTGTATGTATTTTTGTATGTTGTATCTATTATTTTTTTTTTTATATATATAACCAATACCTTAGCAACCATTTATAAACAATTATTTCTACCGTAAATTATCAAAATCCCTGTTTGAGCACTTCTTTTATTTTTTTCTGGACAACCCTTATCACTTAGGGGTATGAAAAATAGATGTTAGCCGATTCTCATACCTACTGAATATGCACAAAAAATTTCATCAAAATCTGTCAAGCCATTTCGGAGGAGTATGGCAACGAAAACTGTGACACGAGAATTTTATATATTAGATTTGGATATATCATATTATAACATATTAAGTAACTCCGTCGTCTTACATTTCAAAACCTACGTACCTTATACTTAAATATTTTTTATTGTTACATTCAAAATATTAAATAGGTACCCTATTTATTATAGATGTTCGATTTTTGATTTTCATATTGTGTGGCCACAACTATTAAAAATGTCCAAAACCGATATCCTATAATATTCCAAAATATTCAAATCATCGACACATAATATAAAATATTTAATAAAAATGTGGAGTTTTTCCAAGATCCTATAGGTATATAATTTGTTTTTCGGAAAAACCACAACCTAATTCTT